ATCCATAACTACCACTGTTCGTAGAAAGCAGAGACATCAATTAGGCATGGTAAAGGAAAGCGCCCGAATATCACTTTCCATTATTCTGAATTAAATATCGGAAAAGAGATACACCAGGAATGAGAGTACTGGGAAAAGATGAGAACATCATTAGTCTTAGAGAACAGGGTAGGCAGGTCAGGGGAGAGAACAGAGCCTAGGGCTTCTAACTAAAGGTCACAAATAATTTATCTGAGTGTGAGAGAGGTCTTCAGAGTAAAATCCCAAACACTGTGATTCAGGGTTATGAATTGGCTGATGAAGGGAGTTCAGCACACTCAAACAGGACAGCCCTTCAATATCGTTTCATTAGCCACTTCCCCATCCCATCTCAGGTGACCCTGGGGACAAATTTCTCTCTTGTATAGAGCCAACATGGAAAGCAATGGCGAGCCCCTGAAAAACTTTGATCTGATATGTTCGCATAGATAGATATAGATAAACATAGATATAGATGGGTGAATATAGATTAGATATCAGGTTAATAATAGCTATTTAGATAGTGTGTATGTATATACATATATATATATATATATATATAGAGAGAGAGAGAGAGAGAGAGAGAGGGGCTTGGATCCCACTAGTCTTTGAAAATCTTAAGATATCCCAGGAATTTTTTGTAGCACAATTATATTTTAAAAAGCAGCTCATTTTTGAAAGCATAACACACAGAATGAAAGTATACATGTCTTACACACACAGTGACATGGTTCCTCACATACTGAATATATGTGAAAGTAGCAGCATTTCAGAAACAGTTTACTCAGGACTTAGAAGCCTCTCTAGTGCTCTGTGCCAGTCAGTACCTAAGTAAGACCAACCCTTCTGCGTCTGCCCTGCGAGTAGACATTATCACTTCTAACAGCATGATTATTTTTGCTTGATATGGTTTCATCCATTTCATGTGTATTTATTGATCTGATTGTTACAATAATCCTATGAGATCAATACTATTATTCTTCCCATATTACAGATGAGGAAACTAGGGAGCATAATGTTCATGGTACTTGCCATGGTCATATTGCTATTAAATAGCTGAGCTAGAATCCAAACCAGGAACTCTGGCTCTAAAGTCAAACCCTTTAGTCACTAAATTGTGCTGTCTAAAATATCATGGCAAGCTCGATCAACAGTCTGAATCAATACAATTAGATGCGTTTAGAGAAATAACCACTAACTACCACACAGCACTTTGTAGATTGTTCTGCACATACCCTTTGACTTCCTCCTACTTACGGCTCAGACCCTGTAAGCAGGCGTCAACCTCTGAGGGAAAAAGACTTGCCCAAAAGCCACCACTAAAAAGGAGAAGATTTGAGCTGAGAACAGATTGGGGTCTATTATTTTCTTCACCATTTCACAAAGGACAGGAGACAACAGACCAAGAGGATTTCATGAGTAATCCTTTTCTCCAGTGAGGCCAGCTAGGCACTCTGGACATGGTTGGTGCTAAACTTGTAAGTCCTAGTCAGGCCCTGTCTCTTGACTGAAGATTTATATGTTACTCAACCCCTCAGAATCCTTGGGGTACCCAAGTTCTTCACTGCACTTATGCAGGTGACAGGAGGTCTATCTGTGACCCAGACAGATGCTGTAGGAAGATAAGGCAATAATGAGGAAATGAGTGAAGCATAGAGTGAGTAAGGCAGACGCTGTGATTTTGGGTCTCCACCAGGGTAACTTGTGAAGAAGAGAAAGAAAGAAGAGAAAGAAAGAACCTAACCTTGGGGAAACATGATATCCACTGAGTACATGAAGTTTTCCATCAGCACACGTAGACTCAAATCCTATCTCTGCCAATCACTTGTGCACTCTACGTGGGTCACCTCTTCTCTCAGCGTCCTGCTTTCTTCATTGATAAAGTAAGCTTAATAGTATTACTATTCACACTGTAACAGGTGGATTAAATCACGTAACATATTACTTGTTTTATAGATGGCACATACGTATTTTATAGATAGCACATAATCAACAGATTTTTTCTTTCTTTTCCTGTTCTTTCTTAACACTGATGAAAGAAAAGAAAAGCAATGTTTTCTTTTAATGCCTTCTTAGTATTGAGTGCTCTAATCAATTCTGCATTCATGACAAACAACAAAGTCTAACTTAGATACATTAAACACAGAGAAAAGAACACTGAACATACAGGCAGAACCAGCTATGAATCCTATCTCTGCCCCTCACCATTCACTAAATGGATGTCTTAAAGACATCACTTACCAATTCTGATCTGCAGATCACTCCTCATATCATCTCTGCTAAGAGAGAAAATTATAAAATGCTACCAAAGTATGAGTGATTTTTATGACTAGGTAGTAAAGAATAGGAAACCAGTGAATCAATAAACTCACAATGTGGTGGTTTGCAGACATTATCTACATGGCAGCTGAATATACTTCCCTAGAAGTATCCCCATCTGGTCAGAGATGGCCTTTACTGCAATGGCCATCCTTGTCTAGTCTTACTTAGGTTTCAGTATTTTTGCAGAACTAGCATCCCTGGTGTACGAAAAATGTGATAAATGAGCTCTCTGTGCAGTCATCTACACCCTCTCTGAAGAGCATCTGGATTTTATTTATCCACATTAATAAAGAGAGCCCATTTGTTTGATGGAAAGAAGTAGGATTTCAAACTCATTTTCCTTAAGTTTTGCATGGTCTCAATCATCTGGCAATAGGAGAAATGTAAAGGAAAATAACAGTTATGTGTAAACAAAATTGACAAAGTTGCATCATAGGGAATATAGCTAACATCTGCATAAAAGGTTTATATATACTTTTAAGAGGGGCGTATAAAACCATAATTCATAAGAATAATAAAAAGTACAATTAATGAAATAAAATGAAGCCCAAATAGAATTAAGAACAGCAAGTGAAGCAAATGGAAAAACACTGTAGCCCCCTAGTACTCAAAAACTATTAAACAATTATTCTTGAAATTTTAGCTTATTAAATAAGCAGTTAGACAATATACCCGATTAAATAAAGTATTAATTTTATATGCTTTGTGCCACTATATCCATTCCCTGAAGTCAATCCTAGTTTGTAAAAAGGTTACAAAATTATATCCAATAATACAAACACACATTTTTGTCCAGGTACTACCTTCTTTCTCTTCTTCCATTCACAGATAAACTTCTAAAACAAGTTTCCATCCACTTTGTCTCCAACCTCTCCTCCTATTTACTCTAGTCAATATATTCCAATCTGGATTTTGACAAATTAATTCTGGCAAACCAGCCCTTTCTTTTCCTAAATGTAAAACGTCATGTTTTAAACACGTTTCTTCCCTTAAGTACCCTCTTATCACAATTTTCTCCTGGTTGTCCTCCTATTTTGCTCCTGGATGTCCTCCTATCATTTCATTGAAATGCCCTTTTCAGGTTCCTCACTCTGTTCACTACATTAAGATGTAAAGGTCCTCAAGATTCAGGTTTTGGTCTTCTGATTCACTACACAATTTCTGCCAGACCTCATCCATCCTCGGGCTTTCAGGAAAAAAGTATAGCCCAGCTCCCAAATGAACATCTCTAGCCATGCACTCTGTAAATTCCAGAACTGTGCATCCAATTTTCAAGGCTTAAAATCCTCCAGTTTCTGGTGATAAAAACCACTTTACTTTTGCCTATGGTGTCAGTTTATGATACAGTTGAAATTAATTGGTTGATTAATAATTTTCTTTCTCTCTTGGCAAAAAGTTTCAAGAGGGCTGAAGCTGTGTTTCCTTTATTCACTTTTCTATCCTGAAAACAGTCACATATCAAGTGTTCCATACAGTGTGAACGGAATGAATGAACTCAACTTCACTTGAGGCTGCAAAATCAAACTTGGCATTGATTTATTGAGTAAGGCCAGGTATGGTGGCTTATGCCTGTAATCCCAGCAGTGTGGGAGGCTGAGATGGGAGGATTGCTTGAGGCTAGGAGTTCGAGGCTGTAGTGAGCTATGATCCTGCCACTGCACTCCAGCTTAGGTGACACAGCAAGACCTTGTGTGTGTGTGTGTGTTTAACGAACAAATGCAAAAAGATCTGAAAGTAAAACTTGAAATAATAAAGAGAATAATTTTCAAAATATAAAGTGAGGGGCCGGGCGTGGTGGCTCACGCCTGAAATCCCAGCACTTTGGGAGGCTGAGGCGGGCGAATCACGAGGTGAGGAGTTTGAGAGCAGCCTGGCCAGCATGGTGAAACTCCATCTCTACTAAAAATACAAAAAATTAGCCAGGCACAGTGGCACACACCTGTAGTCCCAGTTACTCAGGAGGCTAAGGCAGGAGAACTGCTTGAACCTGGGAGGCGGAGGTTGCAGTGAGCCGAGATGGCACGACTGTACTCCAGCCTGGGTGACAGAGCGAGGCTCCATCAAAACAAAACAAAACAAACAAACAAACAAAAATATATAAACTGAACACTTTTTAATGTAATTAGCACAGTGTTAAAGGTGAACATTTCATATAAGCAAAAATCCTGAATACAATAAATGTAATAGACTCAATAACTAAGTACATAGGTAAATTAATAATATCATCCATGGTGAGCTAATGCCCCTAAGGACTGGATGCTTTATCATATAGTTGCTTGACATTACCAACAAGTATTGTGACAAATTTGATTCAATCATTTCATTATGCAGGCAAAAAAGACAGTCTTTTAAAATAACTAAACATATGGGAATACAATGAAGAGTCTCTATACAGTAATAATTTCATTAAGACACAAGTCTGTTCCTAAGCTATTAATCTTACTTGCAAGTTTGATGAAAAAGAGAAGGATCTCATGATTTCTTGCTCCAACTTCCCAGGTACAGAGGCTCTATTCTTTCTTTTCCAGATAGAGACTGATTCCTTGGAAGTAGCTCTTCACAGCATTATGGAGTTGTCATGCCCCAAGAGAGCCCTTCCACCCCTAACTCATGCAACAAGTAGGGCTCCAGGACTTCCCAATGCTGATAAAATTTCAGTGAATAATTTCTCCAGGCCAGTTTCATTCCAACCAACCTCTTGTGTTGAATAGGTTGACAATCTGCTGGAGCACCTTGTGGAGGTCAGTGGTAGTCTAAGCCTTCTGAATTTTGCTGCCATCCATCGGAAACAATAGAAAACATTCAAAACAGATGAACTGTCCATCAATCGGGCACTGGTTAAATAACTTATAACAACTCTGAGGGCAACAATAGAATTGTTTAAAAATATAAATAAGCTCTCTATAGTAATTCAGGAAGATCTTGAAGTGAAAAAAGAAAAATGCAGAACGGTGTACATGGTATGCTATCTTTTACATAAAAATGAGGAGAGTGTAATAAAAACATGACTATTCTTTCTTTGCACACGCATAAAGAACTAGAAGGACTTAAAAGACATAAACTTCAAAATTTGGAAAATGGAAGAAATTGTGTCAAAGTATACATTGATTTGTATGTCAAAATTTAAATTTACCACTAATTAAAGAAATGTAAGTTAATAAAATACTCATAAAGGGAAAAGTCAGCAGAAGGGAAAGGCACAAACATTGCTCATGATAATATTTTGGAAATACTGTCTTGGATCAGCATTTTACTAAATATTATCCATACCAGGGCTAAAATTTTGCTACCAGATTCTGTAAATTTACTACAGATTCTATAAAGCAAAGGAGGATAAGAAGGTACATATTCAGGAACAAACAATGGGCAAAGGAAACTATAGTATGTTATTGAAAAATTATGTAGCCATTTTTAAAACTGTGGAAAACAAAGGCATTTCAAGCCAAAAATTTAGACTATATCATTTATATAATAAAGTAACAATCTAGTAGAGACAAATATTTTACCTTTGAAATTATAACAAATTTGAAAATACGAACCAAAATTGTAACTAAGGTATCTATTACATAATGTGGGATAACAATTATTGTTTTGTAGAGGAAAAAAAAAATTAAGCATCCAGGTTTCCTCTCAATTTATACAAAAGCCGCGTTTCACTGTTATTCAAAAAAACAGAAGCTAGGAAGTGCAAAGTTTTAAAAAATTTATGCATTTGGGGAACGTAAGAGCTCAGATATGTGAAAAACTTACATCAAACGTGCAGCATAATATACGTGCACACATTCTGTCCTATTTCGTCCCACATACAATGCAGATCTAAGGAGCCGGACTGGCGCCCACCCCAGACAGCTCCTCTTCCTCAACCCCCGCCCTCCCCGCCTCCCGCACACTTCCTCCCGCTTCCCCACCCCCACACGCCCGCCCACTGACGAGCTCTGGAGGCCGCGCAGCCGCAGTAGCCGCTACGGCCGCTCCCACCCCGCGGGATCCTGGGAGTACGCTTTTCCGGAAAGAGCGGCTCGGCGTCGGGGCTAGGCCGGTATTCTAGGCCCAAGCCCAGTGCCAGGCCTGTGTTCCAGGTCCTTGTTCAAAGACAGGTCGCTGGCCGCTGCGACACTGTAGGTACAGCGGAGGGCGCAGCGGGCCGTTCGCTGAGGTGCCCGGACCCGCCGCCGAGCGGGCGGTGGAGCCACAGTACGTGGCGGCGCCTCTTCGTTGCCCGAAGCGGAACTGCTGAAGGAGCGGCAGCGCAGGCCGGACGAGGTGAACCGGGTCATTTAACCGCCTTCAGGTGATGAATCATCTGTCTAATAATCAGATTTGAGGTCCACAGCCCTTTGTGGTCCTGCTACAGGGCGATTTTCAGTGGATGACTGACTGGTGTGGCCTGAGGGGTCCAGCAGTGGCTGCCTTCCCTTGATAAGGAAACGAGCTTTCTGTTCTTTGTGGACACCTCGTTGCCTGTAAAACATTCCGGTTATAACTTCTTTCTCCGGCTTGCATCTCTGTGCAAGAGGAAAGCTTTCACATGAAAGTGTCCCTTGGTAACGGCGAAATGGGCGTCTCTGCCCATTTGCAGCCTTGTAAGGCAGGAACCACACGCTTTTTTACCAGCAATACACACAGTTCGGTGGTACTGCAAGGCTTTGATCAGCTTAGAATAGAAGGATTGCTTTGTGATGTGACTCTGGTACCAGGTGATGGAGATGAAATCTTCCCTGTTCACAGAGCTATGATGGCGTCTGCTAGTGATTATTTCAAAGCTATGTTCACAGGTGGAATGAAAGAACAAGATCTGATGTGCATTAAGCTTCATGGGGTGAACAAGGTTGGTCTGAAGAAAATCATTGATTTTATTTATACTGCAAAACTTTCTCTTAATATGGACAATCTTCAGGACACACTTGAAGCTGCTAGCTTTTTACAAATATTACCCGTTTTGGATTTCTGTAAAGTATTTCTTATATCAGGAGTCTCTTTAGATAACTGTGTTGAGGTTGGACGAATTGCTAACACCTACAATCTTATAGAAGTGGATAAATATGTTAATAATTTCATCCTGAAGAACTTTCCTGCTTTATTGAGTACTGGGGAGTTTCTAAAACTCCCTTTTGAACGGCTTGCCTTTGTGCTTTCCAGTAATAGTCTTAAGCACTGTACCGAACTCGAACTCTTTAAGGCAGCCTGTCGCTGGCTAAGGTTGGAAGACCCTCGGATGGATTATGCTGCAAAATTAATGAAGAATATTCGATTCCCACTGATGACACCACAGGATCTCATCAATTACGTGCAGACAGTAGATTTCATGAGAACAGACAATACCTGCGTGAATTTGCTTTTGGAAGCCAGCAATTACCAAATGATGCCATATATGCAGCCAGTGATGCAGTCAGATAGAACTGCCATTCGATCTGACTCCACTCACTTGGTTACATTAGGAGGAGTTTTGAGGCAGCAGCTGGTTGTCAGTAAAGAATTACGGATGTATGATGAAAGGGCACAAGAATGGAGATCTTTAGCCCCGATGGATGCTCCCCGTTACCAGCATGGTATTGCTGTCATTGGAAACTTTCTTTATGTAGTTGGTGGCCAAAGTAATTATGATACAAAAGGAAAAACTGCTGTTGATACAGTTTTCAGATTTGATCCTCGGTATAATAAATGGATGCAGGTTGCATCATTGAATGAAAAGCGTACATTCTTTCACTTGAGTGCCCTCAAAGGACATTTGTATGCAGTTGGTGGGCGCAGTGCAGCTGGTGAACTGGCCACAGTAGAATGTTACAACCCAAGAATGAATGAGTGGAGCTATGTTGCAAAAATGAGTGAACCCCACTATGGCCATGCTGGAACAGTATATGGAGGCTTAATGTATATTTCAGGAGGAATTACCCATGACACTTTCCAAAATGAGCTTATGTGTTTTGACCCAGATACAGATAAGTGGATGCAAAAGGCTCCAATGACTACAGTCAGAGGTCTGCATTGCATGTGTACGGTTGGAGATAAGCTCTATGTCATTGGCGGCAATCACTTCAGAGGAACAAGTGATTATGATGATGTTCTAAGCTGTGAATACTATTCACCAACCCTTGACCAGTGGACCCCAATTGCCGCCATGTTAAGAGGCCAAAGTGATGTTGGAGTTGCCGTCTTTGAAAATAAAATCTACGTTGTTGGTGGATATTCTTGGAATAATCGTTGTATGGTAGAAATTGTCCAGAAATATGACCCAGAAAAAGATGAGTGGCATAAAGTTTTTGATCTTCCAGAGTCACTTGGTGGCATTCGAGCTTGTACACTCACAGTTTTTCCACCTGAAGAAAACCCTGGGTCACCTTCTAGAGAATCACCTCTTTCAGCACCTTCAGATCATTCTTAGGTCTAAGGTATAACACCTTTGCGGTACATCATGGGTGATCTAATACTTCTCCTTCAGTTGTATCTTCTTACAGTGATTGGTACAGTTATTAGATATAAAGGTAACTGATGTTATTCGTCTTGTTTGGCTTTTAGTATGTTCATCAAGTGACTAACAAATGCATTCTGAAGATGTATTTAACATAGCTAGCTGTTTTAACAAATGAGAAAAAAAGATGTAGAAAAATGTTTAGATGTCTTTTTGTGATGTTATATAAAATTGTAGATGACTGTGGTAAATGTGTAATTATGTCCATTATGCTTCAAAGTCGAGTTTTCATCTTTGACTCCAAAATGTCAGAGGGAGGTCACTGTAACCTAAAATTAACAAAAGGTTGCCCAGTATTAATATTAGTTACCTCCCTCTTTTCATAGTTTTTGATATGTCTGTCAACTTACTCGATTGTGTGGTTGCATTCGGAATATTTGAAGTTTCTTACGTAGACAGAAATAATAAAAATATTAATTAGGAAAAAACAGTATAGCACCAAACCAGTATTTGGTATCTCTCTCTAGAGTGAGCAAGAGAGGGAGAAAGGAGAAAAAAATACACAATACAAACATACATGCCTCCGCACATCACATACATACATATGTATACACACACATAATTTAAAAATTGATTGGCACTTCAACTATGCTGAAATTGTTTTTAAATTGAAGTTTCTTTCTTCCACAAAGCAACCGTTTCTATTCAAATGGGAATTCAATACCAGAGAATAAATGTTTATATAGTCATATTGAATTTAGATAGATGAGGGCTACAGCATACTAAATCAACAACCAAATTTGTCATGTGTCTAAACCATTACTTCATATGAAGCTTACGTTACTTTTTTCTACTTGTATAGTTTCTGTAGAGTACTTTTACACAGATTGGTAAAGTTCAAGTTTCAGAGAATTGTTTTTGTGCAGAAAATTTAGGTTCTTTTTTCCACCTTTTTTGGTCAGTAAAACTTAATGAAGAAAGCAAAGAAAAAAATATTCTGAACAAAGCTATAGAGTTTTAAGTTCAGCCTCCCAACTTAGTCATCCTAACATGATTATTTTGCGATTTGGGGTGATTGCCCTGGTGGTGTTCCAGTCCATGTGCATCCTGAGCTGTGTGAGCTGCCTCAAGGCTATGATCTGAGCAAGCAGGAGATACATTTTCTTTTGCATCAAGTGAGGAAAAATGTGCTTTTGGCCATGTCTCAAGGACAGGACCAACTTCAGATTCCCTAAGAAGCCAGCTACAGAGCCTCTGGAACACTATGGTCTTACGAGCAGTACTAATAGCAACCTCCAGCCTCTTCAATACCAAGGGTATCCCTACTGGTTGAGAACCACATGATAGTTTTTAATGGGACTTTTATCAGCAAATGGAGTTACAGGAATTCTCTGTAATGATTCTGAAGAGGTACTTGCCTGTAATAATTGCCTACCTGAAGAAAAAAATTTTATATATACATATGTGTATGTACACACACACACAAACACCCCTATACTTGGAAGATTGTCAGAGTGTAAATCAGGAACAACTTTATTGACAATCCCATAATAAAACTCAGGAACCAAGGCAAAATGAATTGGCTTCTAGGGGTCTGAACCTTACTGCCCATACAAGTGTTGATTCATTTTAATGCTTTTTATGATTTCTGCATTGGCAGAAATGTTCATATTTTATATTTTTTTAATGACTCAGTTTTTTATTACTAAAAATAGCACATTTGAGTACATTTGAAAAATACAGAAATTAGAAATTAACTTTATCGAATAAGCAAGAAGTGCATCCTAATCCTTTCTTGATTATTAATGAGGTTGAATATTTGTGTATTATGGATAGCTGTGTGTCTTTGATCAAATATTCCTGTCCTTTTGCCCTTCTGTTACCTGTTGGAGTTGCTTTGTTTTTCGTATCAAGTTATAGGATCTCTTTATATAATAAATGTAATTTAACTTGCATTTGCTTGCATTTATTTCTTCCCTCAATCTATTGTAGTTTTACAATGGCAACGCTGTTGATTTTTGAGATCAAATTTGTCTTTTTCTTTTTTTTTTTTTTGAGACAGGGTCTCACTCTGTTGTCCAGTTTGGAGTGCAGTGGCACGATCTGTGCTCACTGAAACCTCTGCCTCCCATGTTCAGGCGGTTCTCCTACCTCAGCCTCCCGAGTAGCTGGGATTATAGGCATGTACCACCATGCCCGGCTAATTTTGTATTTTTAGTAGAGATGGGATTAGGGATAAATTTGATATGGTTTATTTTTTATGTAGTATTTCAGTGCTTATTCTGACCTACCAAGGTGGTACTGCCCTGCTTCTATTTTGTACAAGCTTTTCCTTTTATTGAAAAAAAGTACTTTTTATTACGTCTTATGTCTGACCCTGGTGCTTCCTATTGAAATAAGTATTGCTTTACCAGGTAAACTGCTCTATCTATATCCCCTACCTCCAGCTTCACACACCCTGCCTCTCATTCGTTTACTTTCCCATATTCTGTAGTTGACAGTTCTCTTGGTATCATGCAGGTAGCTGACTAATGCTATGCTAATACAGGTTGAGCAGCCCTAATCCAAAAATCCAAAATGCTCCAAAATGTAAAACTTTTTGAGGGCTAACAGGATGCCACAAGTAGGAAATTCCACACCAGACCTCATGTGACAGGTTATACTCAAAACACAGTGAAGACTTCTTTGTTTCATGCACAACATTATTAAGCCTATTATATGTAATTACCTTCAGACTATGTGTATAAAACATATGTGATATATAACTGAAGTTTTAAGTAATATTGTTTAGACTTGGGTCCCTCCCCCAGGATAACGTCATGTACATGCAAATATTCCAAAATCCAAAACACTTCTAGTCCCAAGCATTTCAGATAAGGGATATTCAACTTGTACTGCTCATTAAACCTGGAGTTCGTTATAGAGAGAAATTTTAGGTGGTTGAAATGATTAAGTAGAAAGAGATTTATTTTCATAAGCTGGTAATTTTTTAAAGAAAGTTCAGACTGGAAAAATATTTAGAGGATAAAAACTAAAAGCACATAAAGCACTCTTAACATTTCTTGTTTTAGTTTTTCTGGTAAGCAAAAATTAACATTTGCTAGCTTTTTTGGTATGTCTATTATAAGAAGTACAGGAAAATAAAAGCAAACAAAAAGTATCAGTGATTCCACATGCTGAAGATAATTTCTATTAATACTGAGTATATTATATATGTATACATACATATGTGCAGGCATTTGTCAAATATTTTTCAAATATGCCAGACCTTAGGCCAAAAGCTGGATAATGAAAACAAATCTACCTTCCAAAGACACAGACTCCTATTATGACTTTATCTTATTTTTTAAAAGCTGTATATATTAAAAAATGGTAAGGTGTTTTTTTTCTAATTATCAAATGCACATGTATTTAGAAAAACAGATTCCATTTTTACTCAGATAAATCCAGACTTAAATTTCTTTCCCACTTGCTAATGTAGTTGGCCTGCAAAGCAAACACATTTCACTCATGTTCAGATTTTTGTAATCAAAGTTATTTTGTTCTCACTATAAAGGCAGTAAACTCCTACAGGACATTTTTAAACTACATAAATGTACCATAAAGAGAATTAAAATCAATGTGCCAGCCCCAGCTCAACTGATTATAAACAATTGCTGAAAGATCGTGGGGTAAGTTTAACTCTCTAAAACTTCAGCTTTGTCATACATCTATCAGGTTGGGTGTGGTCAATAATAATTATATTTATATCAGATTTGTAAGGAAATAATATAAAGCAATTAGCATAAGATATGCACAGAAGCAGTCAGTGAATGATAGTTGTTACTAACAAAGTTGGGATTTTATAATTTTTGGCTTTTGCTTCATCTTAATGATTTTCAGACTATTTGAAAGTGTTCAGTGTCTATACTAAATATTTCATTCCATGAACATGCCATATTATTCCGTTTCCTTATGTGTAGATATTTAAATGTCTACCATAAATTTTCACCATAATAAAGCAAGATGTAATATTCTTACATAAAACTTTGCCCATATCTACTATCCTATGATAAATGTTAAGTAAAATCTGAATCATATAGTGTTAACTTTTTTAGGGCCTTAAAACGTATTTCCAGGATTATACCAATATGCATTTTTAGCGGAACTGTGTTCAGTAACTATTTCAAAGGAAATCTTTGCAGTTCTAGTTATTTTACTGTTTGGATTTACATATTTTTAATTACTAGTTACAATTGCTTGTTTATTGAGCATGTGTGTTTTTCATACATAAATCATTTGCTCCTGTCTTTTGCTTTAATTGTCCTCTTTGCTATAAATACTTTTTTATACTCTATAGTTTTTTATTCAAGTTAATGTGATCAAATATGTTCATCTCTTTTGTATGTTGACCTTTTGGTGGTATTTTTGTTTTTTTAATTTGGTGTGTGTGTGTAGTGGTGGTGGTTATTACATAGTACTGATGTGGTATTACTTGTTCTTGATCCTATAGCTCTATAGCTTTGTGATTATTAGTTCTTGACATGTTAGGGTGGCATCTACTTCTTGTCTCCTGTTCAAGTAGCTTTTCTTTCTAGTTAAAATGAGGATGAGTTTTTCCTTAAAATTAATAAAATTTCATTTTTATATTAAGATTAATCATTCACTTTTTTTTTTTTTTGAGATGGAGTCTCACTATGTTGACCAGGCTGGTCTTCAACTCCTAGCCTCCAGTCATCCTCCTATTTCGGCCTCCCAAAGGGCTAGAATTACAGGCGTGAGCCACTGCACCTGGCTATATTAAAATTAATCTTTATTCTCTTATTTACAGAAAGGATTTGCCCACTTGTTTTCTGTGAGCCAAAAAAACAGTTTTTTTCCTTTGTAACATAGCAGAATTAGTGGGTTTTTTTGGGTCATTTTTTAATGGTTTCTGGAATAATTTTTTTTTATCATTAGGTAGTATAATTATCCCAGTATTTTATGTTGTTATTATTGATACAACTTTCTACCAAACTTTTGGCATAAAATCTAATGTATTTTTTCAAATTATCCAATTTTTCCATAACCACTTTTTGAGTATCAGCAATTCAGTAGAATTGCTGAATTTTTATGCTTTTAAAAAAATCATATAAAATCTTATAGGCAATCAATTTAGAGTATTTTTCTTCACTTCCAATGATCTTTTTTCAAGTTGAGTCTTTGAATATACGTGTGTGTGTGTGTGTGTGTGTGTGTGTGTGTGTTTGTATTTCTGCTTTGAATGGAATTTTGTTATGTTCTGAACTCTTGGTAGAAGTAGGAAATATGTGGTTTTAGCATAATGGTTTTCTGTCTACCGACACTCATTGATTCTTCAGTTTTTTGGGTCAATTCTCATATTTTCACCTGAAGTAACCATTATCTGCATATTATAAAAGCCAATTTCATATTGTTTAATATGAAACATTAAAGCATGGTTCATACTTCCAGCAAAATTATAGTAGTGACCAAGGAATTGTGTCTTATGTGTAATTTTAATAGGGGTAATTCTAGTTTTAGAATTCCTTTGTTACAGGGAAATATCCTTGATCTTGTTCATGAAGTTCCTCATTAATTAGGAGTCTTAAAAAATTAGGGTTGTATATCTTCATTACAAAGTGATTTCTGTACCAGCTGATCCAAATTTTTCTTAGTACCATCGATGGGTTGAAGGAAAGGCTATTTCTTGGCTATGTGAACAGTGTATCATTACCCATTTCTTCATTTATTTAGTAAAATTTGTTGAGATGACAATTTAATTTTTCTCATGTCAAATACTGAAGAAGAGTCTGTTTTTAAATTGTTTTCAACTTGGATTAGAAAGCACTTTTATATATCGATGAGTGCATTGTGAATTGGTATACAGTTTAGAATGCAATTTGGCAAAAGTAGTAAAATGATCTTTCAAGTTTCATGCCTTTTGGACAGTAAGCATATTTCTAGAATTAATAAGTGACAGAAAATAAGCCAGAAATAGTCATCTCAGCATGATACTACTATTTGCTTCCTAATATGACCACACTAGACCTTCCATTAAAATGTTTTTAAATGGATTTTTAAAGATTCTTCCCACCTTAATTTTGATACTTTTATCTACATCCTCTAGTATTCAATTGTTGAGCATATATTTGAATGACTGGATGATGATTAGAATAAAAGACTTAGATATCCATTAAGGATGACTGAACACATAACAGAACTGTTGAATTGTGTACATGAGCCAGATGCACTAGTACACAGAATAGGTAGTTCCTCTGTAACAGTCTCAGAGCGGCTGCTTTCCAGGGGCTAATGTTATTTTGCCATCTACTGGTTGAAATTAAAAGTCTTTGTTTAGCTAGATTACAGAAAATATATCTCCTTATAACAGTAATAACAAAACCCAGAAATTTTTATAGCACATGTGGAAGTTCAAAGTGGGCAGCTTATATAAATTATATAAGTGAATATTAAAAACCTTTGGTAATTTTTTGGTGTATGGTAGATCAAAGAGAAGAATTTTTTTATATTACTTAAAAATACAGATTTAAATAGCTATGACCTTTATTTTATTTATAAATTCATATACATTGAATTTTAAAATCTGCAACATTTCATCTGGATTCTAAGCATTCATACCCACTACTTGCTTTTTCCTTTGAGTGGATTCCCTATATCATTTTTATTTTTAGTTTTTAGCAGACAGCCTCATCACAAAGACGTGTAGAATAAATCTTTTCAACAGCAGAAAGGATGTAATATGCATTATATCCAGTTATAAGTAAATATGACAACCTCATTTAAGAAATTTTTATATTGGTTTGCTCGTGTGGGTATGAGGATCAAATCATTACTGCCATAGCCACATAATTTTCACCCGGCCAGCCAGAGACAAATATACATATGCATATATATGTGTTTGATGTAAAATAGCTTTTGGACCAGCTGATCCAAATTTTTCTTAGTGCCATCCATGGGCTCAAAGAAAGCCTATTTCTTGACTATGTGAAGAGTAAGAATGGCATCAACTACCCATTTCCTTATTCTCCATGTTATTGTCTCAGAACAAAATATTCTTATACACCAAGCATTTTTCCCTCAAGATGGATGTGTATAACAGGTGATCTCTTAATAGTGCCTCCTGAAGGATATCGAGAGTGCACATATCTTTTCTACATAGAACTGAAGGAGCAAGATTCAATTTCATGCAATCTTAGCTCAAGATGTGCATAAAGCTGTTGACAGCAACCAAGTAACCTAAACTTCAGAAGTTTTGTTGTCTAGAGCGCCTTCTCCAATTGTAAGTCCAAAGAGTATGTCTAGCTCTTTACTGGTCCATCTTCAAAAAGGCTATTACAATACAGCCTTACAATCTCTTATAATGGAAGTTTATCATTCTTTGCTCATTTCACCCAAGTGCCAGTCAACAGAGTACATGTTTGTGTGTGGTGGGGAGGGGAGGCAGGTCTAACTTCTACTGATTCAAACAGCTTCGTCTTACTTAAGGAGTATACTTTATCACTTAGAAGTCAAAAAATTCTTCCAGCCAGGAATTAGTGATCCATTAGAACTTATTTCTAATTCATGTTAAATCATGAACCAAAACATACTCAATATAAAAACCTAATTTGAGTCAGTGTAATATTTATTTCTTCATACTTCATTTCTACATACAAAGCAGTGTTTACTTCAATTATTTATTACTCTCTCCATCCTTCTCCAGATAAGAAAATTACAGATTTCACAAAACCTTTCATATATGTATATACATATACTTGAAAGCATCAGTTAACTCAAAGATTAAGGAAAAAGAGTTTTTGTTTTGCTTTTGTTGTTGTTTTTGTTGTTGTTGTTGCTGTTTGTTTTTTGAGATGGAGTTTCACTCTTGTCACCCAGACTGGAGTGTAGTGGCGTGATCTCGGCTCACTGCAATCTCCACCTCCCCGGTTCAAGCGATTCTCCTGCCTCAGCCTCCGGAGTAGCTGGCATTACAGGCGCCTGCCACCACCCCTGGCTAATTTTTGTATTTTTAGTAGAGACGGAGTTTCACCATGTTAGCCAGGCTGGTCTCAAACTACTGACCTCAGATGATCCACCCGCCTGGGCCTCCCACAGTGATTACAGGCGTGAGCCGCCGCCCCCAGCCAGAAAAAGTTTTCTAATTTTCAAGGCTGACTCTACATTAATAATCCCTCCCATGCCCTGGACTAGCTGTACTTTATCCTTCAAGGGGAATAAGTTATGGATTCCGTTGGTATGTCTATTTTGTTCACTTCTTGGGCTGCAATATCGACATTTCCCATTCACCGTTACCACTTACCTAGTAGATAGTCTAGCCACTTACAACAGGTTCATGACTACCATTTGGGAATGCCTCTATGAGACCAAGGAGATCCATTGAAACTCAGCCCCCAAATCCAATGTCACTTTCCTTTTGACATCTGTAGTTTTATCATCTATCATAACTATGCCTACTCATTATCTGTAAAATACTCTTTCTACATTAAGGGATACTCTCACATTATGAATTCTAGTTGTGGTTGTTTTAAAATATATTCACAGATTTTCTCATATTCTTTTCTTTCCTCCTTTGACTTATGTGTTGGATGCAGTGATTCCCATCTAATGAATACAATGAAACAATGGTGTTTAAATTATAGACTAGGTCATAAAAAATTGTGCACTTCCTCCATGTTTATCTCTTATCACTTCCTCCAGTACAGGCCAACTGCCATGTTGTGAGCACATACCACATAGCTCCATGGGGAGGCCCAAATGACTGTGATGAAGAGCTGAGACTCCCTATCAGTGGCCATGTGAGTGACCCATGTTAGAAACAGATCTGCCAGCCCAAATAGAGCCTTCAGACAACTGCAGCCCCAGCTGGCATCTTGACTGCAACTCATGAGAGATTCTAAGCCCACCGAAGCTGCTCTTGAATTATTGATTCACAAAAACTGTTAGGTAATAAATGTGTGTTGTTTTAAACCACTGAGTTTTTGATTAATTAATTATGCATCAATGGAAAACCAAATCACCAATGCAGGCAAGATAATGTACATTTCAAGCCTCCCTTGTAGATAGGACATGGGCACCAAGAAAGACTTGCCAATCTGGAGCACCTGCATGAGCTTTTGATCCTAAAGTGTCCACAAGAAGATATAGGCTCTGCATGGTGTTTCTGTATTTGTTGGCTGAGTTGTTGACTTTCTATGGTGGAAAGTTCAGGTTTTAGGAAAATAAATGGCATCAGAGCATGGAAGTTCTTTCTAGTTCTTACTAGAGCAGCATCATCAACCGTGGGTTTTTATATCTGGACAGTTCTCTGGTTTAATTTTTGATATTTTTGTCTGGAGGCTTAGTCTACAGCTTGTTTCTATGGCATCCCAAAAATTCAGCAAGCATCTTAACACCTCTGTTTAGTCATCAGTCTTACATTCAGCTTTACTCTTTACTACAACCTAATAAATACCTTCCAAACCTGTTACCTATCTCAATGGGTACAATAACTATGCCCTAATGGGTCCACTTCCCACCTTTCTAACCAGTATGTGCAAGCAAACCCCAACCCAGTTTTCAAAGGGCAGCTGTAAGAGTTTTCTAATATGTATTTGTTGACATCAATTCACTGCTTAAAACATCTCGATATTTCTAATTATCATTTCTGTGAATCATACTCCCATAATTGCTTACAAAGCCTTTTACAATGCAACACCTGCTTCCTATTCTAACTTCTGCTTTCTCCCTCCCTCCCTTCACCCTCTGGCCACTACATATTCACATCTGCTGTTCCTGTTTCTGACCCTTTGAACATCCCACATTTACTTGGTTAACTCCCACAGGTCCTTGAGATGCCAGCTTAGCAGTTACTTCTCCTGGATGCTTTCCCTGACAGAAACAAGTCCTACATGCTTCCAGAATCTGGTACTTTCCCTGTCACAGTCATTAGCATTACTTTAATTAAATGCTCACTTGCCCACATCCCACCAGACTGGAAACTCTGTCATTCCCTGACAGCAGAGAATGTGTCTACTTTTTTTCATTGTAACTGGCACCATCCACAGAGCCAGCAAATAAAAGGTATTTGCTACTTATTTGAAGTTTCAAGGTGGATGATTGTGTATTTCACTTTAGTTTCTAGTTCATGTAACCGCTGAAACTGAATCAACAGTCATCAGATATGACTTCTCTAAGAAAGCATAAGTAAAACTGAATTCACTTCAGCTGGTATAATCTGTTATAGTGAATTGTTCATCTCCTTCATGGCCCTAGGATTCCTACCTACCTACTTATTGTTTAGAACTGTCTTCTCAGGAAGAGTGCTCCACTAAAGAAAGTCAAGTCTTTATTTAACTTACCAATACATTCACAATGACAAGTAAATTGCCTGGAGCAGAGATATTTAAAACGATTTATGAATAAATGGAATTAATGTTCCTTTTGGATTTGAAAGCAGATTAAAGGTTTAAGGGCACTTTGTATCTCTTTGAGGGTTTGAGTAAGACCTGACTTTTACTGTAAAGATTTAAGTACCCTCTCCATCCCCATCAAACAAAAGAAACCAGAAGGCAAAGCTGACTGTATTTATAAACAATAAATTTTGAATATACAGCAATTATCATTGGATACATTTTAATTATTACGAGCTAAAAATGTAATTTCTCCCTATTCAAAAGTACAATTTTGCCAGGTGCAGTGGCTCATGCCTGCAACCCCAATATTTGGGAAGCTAAGGTGAGTGGATTAACTTGAGGTCAGGAATTTGAGACCAGCCTGGCCAACATGGCAAAAACCCATCTCTACTAAAAATACAAAAATTAGCTGGGCATGGTGGTGCATGCCTATAATCCCAGCTACTTGGAAAGCTGAGGCATGAGAATCACTTGAACTTGGGAGGAGGAGGTTGCAGTGAGCCGAGATTCTGCCACTGCACTCCAGCCTGGGTGACAGAGTGAGACTCTGTCAAAAACAAACAAACAAAAAAGTACAATTTCTTCTTATTGTTGAAACACAATCTTACAAAAATGACTCAATACATTGAAAAATGAAGCAGAAAGTCTTTGAATTGAAAGAATATTTACAAACTTGAAGCCACATAATCAGTAGATGAGACCCAATTGACTGATATTGGGTCTAAATATAAGTTTCCTTTCCAACCTCCTGGGAGTTCTGATGAGCCTATTAACACAGAAAAGGCATTTATTGATTTTCCTTTCTTAATTTGCAGTCTGACAATGTCCCAGGCACAACAGATGTGTTCTTTCTTTCTCACATAGAGACTGATTCCTTGTGAATACTCCTTCATAGCCAGGCTGGAATTCTCCTGCTCAAGGTCTCTTTGATTTCCTGCACCCAAACAGGTCTCCAGAAATTCTAGCTACTGATCAAGCCCAGTAAAGAATTTCAGTTCTTTGTGCTGAAAACACTGGAGATCTGCTGGATCATCTGCTGGATCATCTCATGAAGAACATTGGTGGCCTGAGCCTTTTGGAATTTGGTGCCATGCAGCTGCTCCAGGGGAAAATTGAAAACATTCTTGTTCTTCAGACAGGAAGAAAAGAAAGATTCTCCCAGTTTGGTGCAGAACTTTGAAGGTCACCTATTTATGGCAGCCCATGGCTCTGGGCTAGGCCACAGCTAAGGGTGCAGAGAACTGCAGAATATCATCCTCAGTGTCACTAGGGAAGAGTTTGGCAGGGTCATTGGTGGGATGCAGCTGGCTAGGTCATTTGAGTCTTTACCCGCCTGTCTCAGCACTTCCTTGTTGTGAGATTCTTACATAACCAGATTAGGATTTTCAGTTTTTGTACTTATCTCAACTTTATTTCCACTTTGTTCACCTCTTCTATTTACGGGTCTCAGATAATGTCATGACCTCAACACTTCTTTTGTATTATGACAATGGAAATTAAACACACTCAGAAAATGGCAGAACTCTCAATCTAATAGGATATACCCATCCAAATGAGACTCAATGTTGAAATAAAAGCCTATCTGAGTCTCAATCTATGTCTCTTTTAAAATTCTAATAATGGTACTTAGAGGTCTCATCTTGGACATTTTTACTTCTTAAACTGCACTGAAATACATGTTTCCTCACTTCTCTGCGTTTCCCTTTTAATGAACTAATACACTAGATTTGATTTCTTCCACCTTTCTTTACAAGAGCCACAGCTCATAATCTGTAGATAACGGTGGCATAAAACTTGAAAACCCAGGGTTAAGTCATCCAGTTGTCTTTATTCTGTCACTAAAAATGTCTTACTGCATATATGTGACAGACAATAGGCTTGGTAATTTGGATTAAGAGATAAGTAAAACAGGATGATAACTACCCTCCATGGATTCAAAGAATGGCATTTAAGACATGATTGTGATTAATTAAACACTAGCATGCTCAGTGCAGCCAAGAGGACGAACTAAAAGCTAATAAAGAGGGAAATTGGGAGGCAGCAGAAACTGCCACTTTCTGACAAAATCTGTGGCTCCTAGGAGCTTAAACAACATCAGGTTTTCGTTTCCTTTTCTGCAAAATTGAGACAATTTTAATAGTTGTCACATAGGAAATTGAAAAGATTAAATAAAGTTTGCAAATTACTGGCTGAGACTCTGAACATGGTAAATGATAGTTACCTTTAATTTCAATGTAATAAATAACATAATCCTGTGTATAGTCCACATTTCACCAAATCCAGACAAGAGAAGTTTTGATTGCAGCTCCCCTAACATTCCTGAGGTCTAACACATTGATGTCCCAAACTCTAGGAAAGGGGACTGTCTGTAAAACTGTGAAGGAGTAGAGCCCAGGTTTCCATTGTCAGAGTAGTGCCTTGCACAGAAGAAAAATTGTACAGCCCCCGTGAAGCTTGTTCCAGGGAACCAGTGTCTCAGCAAGTTGTGACAGAAAACGGCTGCTCTGTGAATAGTATAAATAAATAAAATAATCCCTTTACTCAGATTCAGTTAGTTTCAAATCACCATTGATGATTATTTTTAGGCCCAAGTAAAAAATATTTTGTAAACCATTTTCCCAGTCTACAACTCTTTAATTCAACCCTAAAAGAAAAAGGTGATTTGAAACTAACTGAATATAGTATTATATAGTTACCTATAGATATATACAGAATATACACTTACATATTTATACATATTTAAATACATATAAATAAGTAAATATTGTAATCAGTATATATGTTATAATTCTATATAAGGTATATATTGAAGTATATACATTAAAATATACAAATGTATACATATTTTTGTACATTATATTTACATATGGATTTTAAAATGTACAAAAACATATATAAGATATATAAATATATATTCTTTTTTTTTTTTTGAGGCAAAGTCTCACTCTTTTGTTCAGGCTGGAGTGCAGTAGTGCTGTCATACCTCACTACATCCTCAAACTCCTGGGCCCAAGTGATCCTCCCACCTTGTCATCCCAAATAGCTGAGACTACAGGTGTGAACTACCACCTGGCTAATGTTTTGTTTTTTGGTAGAGATGGTGTCTCCTGTTGACCAGGCTGGTAAATCCTGGCTGCAAGCAATCCTCCTGCCTTGGTCATCTAAAGTGCTGGCATTATAGATTTGAGCCACCACACCAGGCCTATATATTCTTTATGTATATTTAAAAACATATGCTTAAATTATGTATACTTTTGTATTTAATAATATACAAATTTAATATATTTTAATATATTAAGTATAATTTAATAAGCATATATTAAATTATATGATATTGTCAAAGTGTATATAGTACTTAAAGCTGTATATACTTAAGTATACATAATTATATTTACACATATTAAATACAAAATACATAATCTAAAAATGTAATATATATTAATATAAGTATATAAACTTATGTTACATAAAATTTAAGTGTATATAAGCATATATATACACACATATATTTCTGGAGGGAGGGGGATTGGAAATGGGACTATCTTGATTTTCAGCCATGGAAAACCACAATACTAAATTGAAAAAGCAAAAAAGAATATAGTCATGTATAAAGAATGAAAACATTTCCAGGCAAAAAATTTGGCCAAGGACTCAAATTGCAAAATCTTGGTTTATCTACCTAAAGTGGCATTCTGAATACTACATTCCATATTTTGGAAATCAAACTGAAATGGACACTACTATCACATGTAAAATGGATGGTGATAACAAGGTCATTCATATTTTCTGTGTGTGATGAGAACATAGAAATAATTACAGGATAAGGATAGGTAACTATCACGTCTAAGACACACCAAAAAATGAAAGGCTGAAGTCAAACTTTGCTCCAATTCTATGCTCACTTTTGCCAAATTACTTCCCACCTGTGCAAACACTTTTTTTTCCAACTCTTTTTCTTTAGTTCTATCCAGGTATTGCCCATCATGTCAGCTCTGTTTCTCAAAGCAAGTGGGTAAAATTAACACAGCAGTAAACTCTGCTGGCCTACAACATAAAAGGTATCAAACAGCAGGCAAGTCAAGTGACTCAGAGCCTTTTCACATCTCAGTCCTCCTACTCTAATGCGCTGGACTCTCCTCGCTTCTCCAGAAGCGCTGCCATTTTCTCCTTTAGTCCCTCTAGTGAGCCCTTCTAGATGTGGTCTCCCTGAGCTCTGAGACTTAGCTTATTGGTTTCATTCTTATTTAGCTCATGTCTCTAGCCTTGTCATGACTTAGTCTTACTTAGGCTTGTGCCAAACAGAAATCTAAAGCCTTATGGATATTTGAACAAAAGGGTAGACATATGCTGAGCTTTTCAAGGAGCTACTTATTAATATATTACTAGGGTGAACAGCGTTTTACAAGTACATTTAAGTTTATGAAGATACATTCTCAAGAAGACAAAACTAGTATATAACATATGTAAGTAAATTGAGGCCTTTCTTAATCATAATGCAGCATACTAGGCATAAGCAAATGAAGGAGAGGAAAAGGAGATGAAAAGAAGGACAATGCCATGCTTTAGGCGGGACTGTACTTAGAAAATATTGATCAGACTCTAGAAATCAGCTTTAGTTTTTATGGCCAGAAATATTCCAGAAAGCATGTAAGAGCTGAGGATTGAGAGTCTAATTTTCTGGATTCCAGCTGTGGCTCCACAACTCAATAGCTCCCTGTGCTTCTGGGTTTTTCTTTTGTAAATGGGGAAAATAGTGCAACCTATCACTATCTGCTTTGGTTACTGATACCTCTAGCGACTAAATAGGGCTGGGTACATAGTAAATTTTCAATAAATATGAAAAATGAGGGTATTCCTTATTAGATAAAATTAGGGTAGATTTTGTCAGTGCTAAGAACAATATCTGATTGATAAGAAACACTAAACAATTTAGCTACTTACTATTCTTTTTATTAATGTTATTTTTAGTATCTTTATTAAGTTTAAGGAAGTTTCCTTTGACATCATCTATTCCCTTTCTTCTTATTAATATTAAAGCCATGACAAGAAAAATGTTGATCTTCTGAGTTTATTTACCAGTGCAAAAATTAATTATTAGGGGTGCAAACAAATGGTAGATATTACAATGGCTTATGACCCTTCAAAGCTCCCCTCTAACAAAACCTTATCTCTTAGTACTTATGTTCTTTCATTGGATTTTCTTGTGTATCACATGAAGATCATTGACACCAGGGGAGAACTTGATGCAATTACACTTGTCCATTCTTCAGAGAGAATATTGTGCTTTCACAAATTTGCCTTTTTTGTGTACAACGTCTTGTGTGTGGTGTGTCTACCACAACTGTCAGTTAAGGCTGAATTCACCAAAACATCCACTGGACCAGTAATGATTACTTCTCTTCAAGCCCATTTCCATATGCTACCTTTGATCTACATCCTTTTTATAATTTTTGCTCCTTCCCATCCCTTAATGTCCATCTTGCCTGGGCTGAATGTAGCTAAGTTACATTTTGTCATTTTTTACTCCAGTGGGATATTGTTGTCATTCTGACATTTTCATCATATTTACTTATACATTTGTTTTCTTTTTGTCCGCATTAATTGGGATGCAAAAAGCAACAACTTTTGATTCCTATAAAAAAGGAAGTGAAAAAGATATATGGTGTCTTACATGTTATATAGAACAACTGTACTGTCCATTTATACTATTTACATACCATTATTGATATTTAGAAAAAAGATGAGATTTTTTAAAACTCAATTAGGATTGAAATGTCTCAACGGAAATTTGAGACTTTAATGTCAATAAATTTTTTTTAATTAATTGAAGTTTTCTCAATTGTATACTGTCATTAGGGATGAAATTGCTCCCAAAGCTGCAAAAATCAATTCCTGGGGATGTGAAAAAGTCATATATATTACAATGGCTTATGACACTTCAAAGCTTACCTCTAGCAAATCATGACTCTTTATTATTTATTTTCTTTCATTTGGGTTTTCTTGTGTATCTCATGAACAGCATTGACATTGAGTTCAGGGAAGATACACAAAATGAATGCAAGACCAGAGCTACCAACCTATGTGGAATAGATGGCTGCCATTAGTGGACTTTCTCTCCATTATTTGTTCAATCCCAAAGTTATACCACGAGATGTGTCCTCCATTGGCATATGGGCTGCTATTGGCTGTCTTACTGATGTAGGTTATGTTTGATCCTCAGTGCTTCTGAATGTGTGATAGACTTTGAGAATAAAATTATTTAATCCTACTAAAGTTATTCAACACATCAATACTTAAGTCAAGGGCTGAAAAAAATTTGATTATACCTAGATGAATATCTAGCAGCCAGTCAAGTTTTAAATTATTTTCTGTATGAAGTAGAATTAAAAGTTACATACACTACAAATAAATATTGAGAAAATCATTTAATTATAAATAATTTTTAGCAGTTTTGAAATAA